AACCTGTGACTCCAGACCCACAGCAATATAGTTGACTCTTAACTGCCTCTGGGCAATTAGGGATGGGCAATAAATGATGGCTTAGAAAGCGATGCCCTTATCCCATCAATGCTATTATTTGAACCTAAAACTGGTGCTGACTTGGAAGGAACCACAATGCCTTCATTGTAGGGGTTTTCTCTTCATATGGGGTTAATAAATTTTAATTTATTAGTATATTTGAAAATACTAAATTCATTACTAGTACTGAAAATATTAATTGAACCATATAAAAAAATTTCATGTTCGAGTTGTAAAACGTCAGATAAAATCTGACGATGACAACAATAGCTTCATAATCTAACTTGTCATGTCCTTGGGATTATCGTTCTCCTGATATACATTATCTACACTGCTAATTGGTAGGCGGGTCTCAGTTTCTTCCCAGTCAATATCTTCACCACCTTTCTAGAAGGTCTTCTGAGGCCATCCTGTTCAGTTTGAGAACAAGAGGACATAAGAATGGAAACCCTTATATTGGCAGGTGCGGTTTCAGCTACCATCTGAGAGGACAACTTAAAACATTTACTCTTCATGGCTATCAGGGCAAATGGTGATTTACTAGAATGGGGATGTTGCTTGCATCCCAATTGGAGCAGATCATACCTGAAGGACTATCCCTTTTCTTTCCTAATGTTCGATAAAATCCTTCACTCTGTGAGGAATTGATTTCTGCAAATCAGGCCACCCAAATTGATTACATTTACCATTCATTTTCCTGTCACACAGGTTCAGTCCAGGTCAGTGAAAATCAAGTGAATTTGAGGTAAGTTCTTGATATAACACAGTTAAAACCATGATCCAGGTTTGACACCTGCCCAACATTACAAGCGAGTCCATGGAGAGGTATATTCCACAACAAGTCAGAAATAATTTCAGACTATTCCTGCCATAAAATGTTTAAATCCATGCTCCCATTCAGTTTAAAATATCTTTAAGTATTAAGTTTTGGCAGGCTGCATGTGGGGTTTGACATTCAGTTTCTGGCATCAGACTGCACTACAGAGAGGACAGGTTGAATAGGCTGGGCTGAGTAGAGAAGATTAATGGCTGATGTAATTGTGCTGTTACGATGATGACAGGAATTGATAGGGTGGATAGAAACTGTGATTGAGGTGCCCAGTGTACCCAAATACCCCCACTAAAAGGAGTTAAAGAGTTAAAGGACTAAATGTGGGCTCAAAGATTGAAGTAGGAGGAATGGGTTTCAGTTCGTGGGGCACTGGCACCAGTACTGGGGTAGAAGGGAGCTGTTCTGGTTGGACAGGCTTCACTTGAATGGTGCTGTAACCACTGGAGTTGACTGGGAAAGGAGTTTAGCAGAAGGATGCTTGATGAACAATGAAAAACCTTTAAAAAAATAGTTTATGACTCATAGCAAATATATGTCTTAGAGAGGAAGAAAGGTTCTAGGAAAGGGAAAAACAAATCATGGTTTACCAAGGCAACTGTGATGATACCAAATTCAAAGAAAATAACAACAAGGTGGCAAAGATTAATGGAAAAGCACAGGATTGGGAATGCTTTTAAAAAAAACCCCAAAAAATGACTAATAAATAACGAATAGGGAGAAAATAAATATTGATTGCAAACTAGCAAGCAATATCAAACAGAGGTAAGAGCTTCTTTCAATATATAAAAAGGAAGAGACAGGCCATAGTGACCCTGAGGGAGTAAGGCTGGAGACATAATAATGGGGAACTAGAAAATGGCTGAGGTGTTGATTTATATAAATACTTTGTATCAGTCTTAATGGTAGAAGACACCAAAAGCATTTCAAAACTACTAAATAATGAAGATGAAAAGGGGAGGAGAGAAAATAAGTATAAGTATCACTAGAGATAAAGTATTAGGAAAACTAGTTTTGCCAAAGGCAGATAGATCCCCTGGACCTGATGGATTTTGGTGAGGCCTCTTCTGGAATACTGTGTCTAGTTCTGATCGCCCAGTTATGGGAAGGATATTATCAAACTGGAAAGGGTTCAGAAGAGATTTACCAGGATGTTGCCAGGTATGGAAGGTTTGAGTTATAAAGAAAAGCTAGATATGCTGGGACATTTTTCCACCGGAGGATAGGAGGTTGAGAGGCGACCTGAAAGAAGTTTATAAATAATGAGAGGTATAGGTAGAGTTAAAGGTAATTGTCTTTTCCCTAGTATGGAGGATTTCAAGACTAGGGGGCACATTTTTAAGGTGACAGGAGGGAGATTTAAAAAAGACATAGGCAATGTTTTTTTACAGAGGATGGTTCGCATGTGGAATGAACTTCCTGTGGAAGTGGTGGATGCAGGTACAGTTACAATGTTTAAAAGGCATTTGGATAAGTACATGAATAGGAAAGGTTTGGAGGGGCATGGGCCAGGACCAGGTAGGTGGCACTAGCTTAGTTTGAGATTATGTTCAGCATGGACTGATTGGACTTTGGGGTCTGTCTCCATGCTGTATGACTCTATGACTATTGCTGGCCGTGGTGCTGAATTCAACCAGGAACTGCTGCCCCAGGTATCCATTTCCGAAGGTTTACTGAGTAAAGAACAATTATGAAAACAACTCACCAGATTATTTTGGCTAACCTCAATTCCAAATTCAGCACAGGATAATTGAAAAATAAAGAATTTTTGGGCCAAAAGATAAGAATCAATTTTTTGTATGAGTTTGGCTTTTACTCGAGTATGTATGGCATTGTACAAACATACAAATTGGGAGAAGTTAGCAATTTGGCCCCTTGAGCCTTTACTGCCAATTGGAATGATCATGGCTGATTTGATAGTCACGTCTACTTTGCTGTCTACTCATGTTAACGTTGACTCCCTTGTCAGTCTAGAATCTGTATAACCAAGTACTAAAACTATTCAATGATCCTGTCTCTGAGGATCAGAATTCCACAGACATCTGACTCCCTGGAAGAAAAATATCCCCCCTGTAAGAATGGTCCAAAAATTAGAGTCTGGCCATTCTAGAGTGTTGTCAGGAAGCACTTCTTCACACAAAGTCTGTGGAAATCTCCAACTCTTTCTCTGTACAAGGTGTGGAGGCTAGGTCAATTGTAAAAATCAAAACTAAGGCATTTTCTTTTATTAGGTCAGCATATTAAGAATATGGAGCAAGGTGGGAAAATGGTGTGAACCAATGTACACTTAAATGCTGAACAGGTCTGAGTGGTTGAATAGCCTACTCCTATTTTCACCTCAAACTAAACAGATCTTTGTGCCCCGATGCAAGATCTATCTATCAATGACATACAGTTTTGAAAGAAATCCTTAGATCTACTGCAAGTATGCAGCATGAGAACATACAGAGTTTATGGCCCTTGAGGACAGAACATTCAGATGCCTTGAAATTCATTGGTGACAAAATGACAACATTTATATATACTGCGCATTTGAGATTTTTTTGAGCAATTCATTCCTGGGATGTGACCATCGCTATTACTGTTTGCTGCTGATCCCTAACTGCCCTGTGAATTGGATGGTTTGCAAGAGGCATTTCAGAGAGCAGTTAGCAGCCAACTACATTGCTATGGGTCTGGAGTCACATGGAGAGCAGACTAGGTAAGAATGGAAGATTTCCTTCCCTAAAGTGAACTTCCCATGACTGAACCAGATGGATTTTTACAATGAATCAACATTAGTTACAAGGTTGCTATTGGGCTGGCTTTTAATTCCAGATATTTCATTAAATTCAAATTTCCCCATCTGTCATGGTGAGATTTGAACCCATGTTTCCAGAGCATTAGCCAGAGTCTCTGGATTACTAATCCAGTGACATTTTCATTATGATGTTGCCCTCCCCCCTCCAATTGCTTTAATCAGGTCAATATTGTTATATTGTGTGACAACCAGAACAGTAAAAAGACAACTAGGTGCACTGGGTCTTTATTTACGCAGCAATTTCCATGTTCTTCTGAAACGTATAACTCACCCCTACAGGGAACCGAGCACTAAGCAGTAAGTGAACCTCCTGTAGTTTGTTCACAATTACTTTACAATATGAAACAATTTGTCACTGGCCATTTACCCTTGCCCATGAGCCCTGGTATTATTGAGCAACAAAATCCTAACACTCAGCTGGTGATGGAAATGATTTCCTGTTATCTGAGATAAAGCATAAATTCTTCTAATGTCCCATTCCTCTAATAATAGCCACCAAGAGAAAACTTTCCCTTTATGTTTATGGCAATCAGAGGAGATCTCCATTTCTGGTATTTGACATGTGTCTGTGATTAACTGTTGGAGCTGTTAGCTATTCCTTGTCACAGATTTGACTGAAGTAGGACAGACAGTTGTGCAATGTCCTAATTGTGCCACATACATACAATACATGTCAGGAGGTCATCCAGAATTCTCTCATTGGGCAGCTTCTTGAGTATGTGTTTAGATAGAATGGTGAGCACAAAACTTAGTGCAAAAATATAGTTGGCAAAATAAGGTCTTTTCAATGGCATGCAGTGGGAACCTACTTTTAATGCATTAGCATGTTATACAAACTCATTAAATCATCATTTTGCTAGATTAAATGGTACTTTTGGAATTAGTTCTGCAGTAAATCCTTCAGATTTATGACTGGTTAAAGGTGACATACAGCAGATGAAGTCGTCTTCCTGGTCATTGTGGACTGAGCAGGAGCCACCTTTCTTCTCCTGGGAAGCTTTCTTGAATCCCAGGAGAGCAGGCATTGGTCCACAGAGATTGAGTTGTAGCAGTGGAAGAGGGATTGAGCTGACTGACCGGAGGAGGAAGGAGGGGCCATGGCAGGCGTATGAGGGTTTTTGGGCAACAGAGGGAGGAATCTGCACTGCACAGATCTGAACTGATCAATACCTGCAGGCTGGAGACAAAGCATGGTTGTAGGGAGATTCAGGGGTGGGAAGGGCAGGTCAGGGAGATGGAGAGATGGTTGAGGTTGATGGAGGGAAGATCATTAGAAATGATCAGGAGAAGTCTGGCTGAATTTGTTCTTACCTCCCTGTCATTGAGATCAATTTCTGTTGAGATCAGCTAGTTGAGCTCAGGCTGGTGGTTGAACTTACAATCTTCCCGGTTCTGTACAGTCTTGTTGCTCATCAGGCTGCTCAATGAACAACCCAACAATGAATGTCAGTGACATACGAAAGAAGGGCGGTTGAATAGTCCTGGAGCAGTGTACTGCTTTCTGAAAGAAAAATAAACCAAAACAAACAGAAAAATAAATAAAACAAGGGGCACAGTTTATAATCTGGATTGCTGAATTCAGTGTTGGGCCTGGAAGGCTGTAAAGTGCCTAACTGAAAGAACAAGTGTTTTCCTGAAGCTTACATCGAGTCTCATTGCGATAATGCTGCAGGCCAGCATGAAGTGAAGAATTTAAATGGCAGGCCACTAATAGCTTGGCATCATATGTGCGTAGAGAATGGAGGTGTTTCGCAAAGCTGTCACCTAATCTGCATTTGGTGTACCCAGTGCAGAGGAGGCCACATTGTGAGCAGTAAATACAGCAAACCGAAAAAAGGATAGTACATTGCGGCTTCACCTGGAAGGAGTGTTCTGGGCTTTGGATGATAAGGAGAGAGGTTTATTTACAGGTTAGTTCCTGGATTTTATTTTTTACGTGTTTGGGATGTTTCCTATACTCGACTCAAGTTTGAATAACATCTGGTTGATCTTTACTTAGTTTATTGGTCACTTGAAATCCTGCATTGAACCAAGATGCTTGTAATCTGGTAATCTGGCAGGGCTTGGTTCAGGAATTGAGCACCATAAGGTGAACAATGCCTGTGCTATCCTTCCTCCCTGGACATGTGCAATTGGTGTTTCAGTAAGTGCAGGTCCCTCATCTACCCCAGCCTCTAAAGTATGGGCTGTATCAGTTTCTAAATTCTGGGTGTTTCTTCTTCTTTGCAGTCTTCTTCCTCTCCATTTTCTGTTTGGGATAGCTCAGTCCTTAGGTATATGATTTTTATTTTCTTTTAGCACGGCAGGGTCTACCCACTCATGACGCTGGGTCCCCAACCGATGCACGCAGCCAATGAAAAGCATGGGTAGAACTGGTTGCACTTAAAACAGCATGAATGCCTTGCAGCGATCTCCCTGCCAGGAGTTATCCATTCAAATCTCTCGGACTTTGCAATGGAATGCTGCAATTGTGGCACATTTCACATTCCCTTAATCCAGTCACACTAAGCACTAAGAGGTAGCAAGAACTGCAGATGCTGGAGTCATGGACAACACAGTGTGGAGCTGCAGGGGCACAGCAGGCCAGGCAGCATCAGAGGAGCAGGAAAGTTGATGTTTTGGGGCAGGAACCTTCTTCCAAGTTGCATTTCATTCACTTTCATTTCCTTTATTGTAAGAATTAATTGATTTAAAAAGAATTCTTTCATGGGATGTAGGTGTCACTAGCAAAGCCAGTATTTATTGCCCTTGAACTAAGTGGTTTGCTCCGTAATTTTAGAGGGTAATCAAGAGTCAACCACATTACTGTGGGTCTGCAGATGCTTGCAGGTAAAGATGGAAGATTACTGAATTGGAAGCATCTTTATGACAATTGATAATAGTTTCCATGGTCACCATTACTGAGACTAGTTTTCATTTCTCAACTTTACTAACCAAATTCAAATCCCACCTTCGGCTATGGTGGGTTTTAAACCTATGCCCTCATGGCATTAGCCTGAGTTTCTGGATTACTGTTCCATGGACATTACCATTATGCAACCCAGATCTCAGAAAATTAGCCTCGTGATGTTTGTTCTGTACCTTAAGAAAAAATAGGCAGAAAACAAAGAAACTGAGCAACAGAACATACATAAGACGCCAAATGATACCAGAGAGCTGTGGAACATCAAGTGAAAGAAAGATACCTGTTGGCTTGTTAGCAATCATCTCTGTGAGCAAACTGCAGTTCTTCTCCAGTTAGTTAAGGCTGTTTTATAAAATCTTTTTAATTGTTTTCTCAATGCTCTTCAACGTTTGACCAACCTGATTCCTGCTAATGACCTAAATGTAGAGGAACAAAAAAGATAAATGAGAATTTGGTGGGTCATAGAACATATAAACAGGCCACTAACCACGATAATTCTAGAACTTTCCATTTCTTTCTTTATCATGTACTTGCCTAGCTTCCCTTTAAATGAATCTATGCTATTCACCTCAGCGCTACCTTTTGGCATTCAATTCCACTTTTCCGTCAGTTGTAAAGTAAAAGGTTTTTCCTCCTTTTCCTATTGAATTTAGCAGCAACCATTTTGTATTAATTGACACATTACGTCTGAAACAGGTTCACATGTATTGTCTTCATTGTCAAAGGACAACTTTAACTTATATGGATTCTTCCTCATAGCTCTTTTCCCATTTTGCGCGACACTGGGTTAATTATCAGCTACAAGTGTAAGAACTTTGACTTTGACCCTGAAGGAGATTCTGTTAAATTGACCATACAGTTCAAAACAGCTTTCGCTCAGGTCATCCATTAGCAGCTTATTTCTGACTTCTCAAAATATTGTGCCTCTTTGAAATGCTTTTATTTGAAATTCTAACACCTAAATGCAGCGTACTCAAATTTTGAAGATAAAACAACCCACAAGTCCTGGTCTTACTCATTGTACCAACATACTTAGTATCAAATACAAAGAGTCTATAACACCTGGGATAACAAGGTGCAGAGCTGGATGAACACAGCAGGCCAAGCAGCATCATAGGAGCAGGAAGGCTGACGTTTCGGGCCTAGACCCTTTCTGAAGAAG